CACACCCCCTGGTTCCTCGAGTTTATCCAGCTGGCGTGTGAAACCTCATATTTGGACTACTTCAGATTTCCGGGCTCCACATTCCCACAATCTTTTAAGCAATTTAAACAGCACAGAAACCCAGGGCTACAGCTTCTTTCTCCAGATTTTAAATCTACTGCATTTTCATAGAAGTCAGCAGTTGCCAAAATGCGGTTCATGTTTCTTCAATTCAAGTGTTAAATCATGGCTGGATAGCTTTCGGAATATGAAAAGAAGACATGAAAAACATTTGAATTTGAAGTTCATTTGTCAACATCAAAATGACATAGTTTAGATTTCAGCTCCATTTCTTGATTTAGAATCCACAGGCTGGCCTGCCAGTGCTTGTATTCAAAGTTCCAACAAAAAACTGCTGAAACTTATCTTATCAGAAAAGAGAAAGCTGAAACACAGAGCTTGAGATATGTTACAACTCAACATATCTGCTTCCTCAATAGTGTATGATTTCATATTGACATTTCTCTAGCCCATTCTTCCCTAGTCTGTGCTCTAAAATGCAAAGCTTTGAATATGGACACCAGAACTAAGGGATTCCCTTGTTTTCCAAAATGTCAAAATTATTAGTTCGAGCTACAACGGAGCTAACAGGCCAAACTGTGACAGAGGCCAACACCAACAATGAAGTTCCTCTCCTCCAAGTCCTTAACTCATGGGAAGAGCACAATGCCCTCATTGTCCCCAGACGGACATAGAAATGAGCTCGCAGAAAGTGGCTTATGATGAACTACTCAACACGAAAAGGAGAAGAGCTAGCAGAAAGCCCCTTCTCTGCCTAGGATTCCAAAAAAAGTCTGAAAAAACAAAATAGGAAAAGATTTTGAAGGGCAGTAACTGCCAAGGAGGAGAACAAAAGTAGGCCTGATTTAATGAGTGCGGGGGATGGAGACACAATATGAAATATAAAGAGGCCCTCACTTCAAGAACGCACAGCATCTGCGGTCCTGGCGACGTAAATAAATCTCTTTTTCATACAGTATAATGGTCTACTGTGAACTCAAAGGCCATCGCGTTTCCACTTAATGTCAAACAGATGAACAAAGGGTGAAAAAACAAGAAACAAATTGGAGTTTTTCTGAAGACACTGAGAAATGTTGTCAACAGTCACTCACGTTAATGAATGTAACACATAAAAATGAAAACTGATAAGTCCAAGTGTTCTGCTCTTACTTTAAGCTCTCTAGGTTAACCAAAAGGCTTAGAGCTATTCACAATAGAGAGCATTAAATTACTTTAAATCTGAAAAATTATTAAACTGATTATAACTATCCACAGTTATAAAAATGAGCGAAATCCTATTCTGAAGTGGAATAGAATCTGTCATGGTTGCTGTTTGTAGGTATATGTCAGCATGCATTTCATAAGTAAAAATCCACGAACAGAAAAGTCATTCAGCGCTCGCTCAAATCCAATAATCAAAATGATTCCAATAAAAAATATTCCTCTCTAAAATGAACAGAATCTTAAATAAAAAACAAGGAAAGATAAGGTTCAAAAGCCAGATGTCTACA